TTAATCAAACATAACTTTACTAAACTTCCGCTACAGCAGCAACTAAAAATTAAATCAGATGACAGGCCAATGCCCGCACTCGAGCTGTGTGTACACAGAGGGAAAAGGGAGATAATCGGACGTTCAATGAGGACAATTATGTCCGCACGGAGTGGCTAACTGGAAGCGCTAAACTTCAGCGTCTATTTGGCTGGCCATGTCTTCTTTTTGACAAGGATTCGTGCTCCCTGAACAATACTTGGGCAACTTCAGGATTCATCGACCTTGCCAACCTGCCACGGGCAATTGAGAGGCACGGTAAATCCAAAAATCACAGATTGTGTGATTGTTTGCATACATTAATAAGTAAAATGCTTAAATTAATAAGAAGAGAGTTTCAGCTGGAGAGTGCGTGCGGACCTGTCGGTTAGATAACAGGCGTGTGCAAGTCCTGCATCTGTGTGATACAAATGTGTGTAAAATGATACCGGGCGCTGTAATCACTCATCTGGTTACGTTATTGACCGCCCCCCGACCCAAAAAATGGGCTTCCCCTACATTTTCCCCCACGCCACGCTACTGGGGATGAATGGGATTATAAAGTCACAATGGTTTGCTCCAAGCATTACACTAGCTACACAGACCCTTGTAGATAGATGCATGATATGCCAGCAGACAAGAAGAAGAAAAGGTCCAGTTCAGCATGAACACTTACCGCCCCCCTCGGGGCCCTTTGTAAATATGCAAATTGACTTTTCGCACATGCCACCATGCCAAGGATTCAAATATATTTTGGTAATAGTGTGCCAGTTCTCCAAATGGGTAGAGGCCTACCCTACCAGAAAAGAAGACGCCAGAACAGTTGTAAAGTGTCTTCTCAAAGATGTTGTCCCTAGATTTGGTGTTCCAGCAGGGATTAACAGTGACAGAGGTCCAGCATTCATTTCTAAGATAACCCAGAGTCTAGCTACAGTGTTAGGGTTCAAATGGCAATTGCATGTTCCCTATCATCCACAGAGCTCAGGCCAGGTTGAGAGAATGAACTTGACTATAAAGGAAAAACTCACTAAAACAATGTTGACCACAGGACTAAAATGGGTAGACGCGCTGCCGCTAGTTCTGTGCTCAATCAGAAACTCACCAAATGCAACGACAGGGCTTAGCCCACACAAAGTATTGATGGGAAGGCCAATGTTCACAGGATCTAGTCCTCCAGTAATGCCCCACAGACTCACTCTTTTGTGGACAGAGGATTACATGACTAACTATGTCGAATATCTAACTGACATGTTGAGAAAGTTTCACAGGCAGGTGGCTGACAGGCTCCCCCAGCCTGGTGAGGAGCCCACCCACCCTTTTCAGATTGGTGATAATGTACTAATCAAATCGCTTGAAAAAGATTCTTTGTCTCCCAGGTGGAAAGGTCCTTTCCAGGTATTAATAGTGACCAGAACAGCCCTGAGAGTACAAGGTAGAGCGGAGTGGATTCACGCTTCAAGATGTCGTCTCTCTCCTCTACCGGATGCTGGCGTGTGAAGGCAGTCATCATCATCGTCATTCTGGGTTTACTGTACCTGGCCAAGAACGCCCTGCTAGATGAAGCTGTGACAATCCCAATGACAGGTGGCGAGGGACCTCGCCCGTCTGAGGGAGAAAATAAGGTGCTCTTATCTAAGAGCACAGACGACTTGACCACTCAGGGTCCAGACCCTGAGGGCAAAACAACACCAACGGGCAAAGAAGTGCCTAGCGACAAGGACAGGTTGTATCCAAACACCACACAGACACTCAGTATGGTGCAAGAGACACAAAGAGAGAAAAAAGGAGGGAGAATAAGGAGGATTGTCTCCCTCCCTGATCATAAGTCAGAGACTATTGCCGTTAACTGCCCAAGTTCAATATGTGACTCATCTAACTGTATTATTGTGTTTCCTGTGTCCTCAGTTTACCCAACATGGGAGTTATATCCAGAAAACCAGTACTCTTGGTTCAGGGTCGCACCAGAGGGGGTAAGGATGGTTCTTAACACCATCGAAGAAATGCCCCCAGAACTGTGGTGTAGCACTATAGAACAGTTCGAGACACTGATAAGGAATGAGGTAAAATGTACAGTGCGGAAGCCAGATTACCGCATTCCCAATCTAGGTGATACTGCATGCACAGTTACTGGACCAAATAGCAAAACAAATGTTCCATCTACTCCACTTAAACAATCAGGAGGCGAGGTAGATTCTTCAAAAAAGGCCTTAATTACTCCTTTTAAACAAACTAAAACTAATTCTGCAGTAAGTTTAATGTTAGACTATGCACATGAACGTAATGTTAGCAACTGTTGGTTGTGCCAAAATATGCCAGAATCAATGCATTCTCCTATGTTTAGCCCAATTCCTTTCACAAAAGCTGATTACGGTTTAGTAAACTGGAATGACATAGCATCTAGAATTAGCGATGAGGCTGGGGATTGTTATACTCCTTCCTACCCCATAGACTCTGAAAAACCTTTACAGTACAAGGGCTTAGTCTCTCTCATTGTTGATACAGTAAATAAAGATTACCTGCCTGACGGTTTCAAACGTTTGATGTTTTTAAAACTAATATATATGAAGAAATACGTTAACCTAGCTTTTGAATATAGATTCCAGTTAGCTCTAGCTCAGACTAATTGTTCAGCTAACTTTACAAGTCCAACATGTACAATGCAACCACACACACCCGCTTTGTTAGTTGAAGCTTTGGTAACAGTTGTGCCCTGGTTTGGCTCTAGAACAGTGGACTCCGTTGAGGTTAAAATACATGACTGTACGCAGCCAATACCCTTAGGCAAGCCCCCTACATGTGACTGCTCAGTATATGTTCCCCCAATTGTTGTGCATGAATGGAAGAATGTGTCCATCTGTTTCCAGAATGCAGTAGGATCTCACACCTCTCCTGATGTGGGACACAGCGACTGTAATGCCATAGTGAGAGTACATATAGCCAGAATTCCCCTCCCACAGAGAGTTTACTTAGTTTGTGGGGACCGGGCCTATGGCTGTGTGCCATATGACGTTTTTTATGGTACCTGTTATCTAGCCTACCTAATCCCTTTAATCCGTAAAGTAGAGGCTACTGAGATTGCAGCAATACTTCCCTCTCTACACAGGAACAGCAGGTCTATTACACAAGGACAACAGGTAGCTAGCCTATTCTTGCCTTGGTACGGTATTTATGTTACTCAGCAGGAAATTGTCGCATTGTCCAAAGTTGTGGAAAATCATCTAAATGTATCCAACACAGCGATGTTAGCTGAACACAAAGAATTGCAGGAAGTTAGGACAGTAGCACTACAGAATCGTATGGCGCTTGACCTCCTCTTAGCGGCCCAAGGAGGAACATGCAAGGTGATAGGAAGTGAGTGTTGTTCTTTCATATCTGATGCCACACCTGAAGTTATGGACATGGCTCATGATACTGCCAGGGGAATAAAATAATTGCATGAAACTCATGGGTTTACATTTGGGGAATTAAGTGGAACTTTTGGATCTTGGGGTTACATTTGTTGTTACTGTTTCAGTGTTTATCTTGGTTGTGCTAATCCTAGTGATCTGTTTGATCACTGTAGTTAAATTAGCCATACGAAGGGTTGCCAAGACTGCCCTCCAGGCCCCACAAAGGCTAGTTGGGCATTCGACTGTACAGGACACAATATTAATGTACAATGCCGAGCTTCCGGACCCCTGGGTTTCCATCGTGATCTCCGACCCGTGGGTACCTCCATTCAACGATTGAGATGTTGTTTAAAGTTGATATTCTGAATAAAGAACAGATGTTTTGATAATTGATTACAGTTGATACACTGGATTAAAGGACAAATGTCTGATTTTTTCCTTTTCAGGTTGTTTTACAAATAAAATGTCTGATTTTCCTTTTCAGATTTTGAACAAATGTATTTGAATGAAATAAATGTATTACTAAGTGCCTTACTCTTGAATAAAGCGTAATTAAGTAAACGTAAAGTAATGTTAAAGATTGAGGACACTGTAACTTTACAGTTTACAGATTGATCGATTCATCACTGCGAATTGATACCTTAAACTAGGAACCTTAGCTGGATCTCTCATGATTCTGATTTTATACCTCAATTGATTTCTCATAATCCTAAATTATACCTCAATTGATTTCTTATAATCCTAATTGTGTTTTTAATAAGTAATTGCCTTAAAGTAAATCTTTGAGATGTAAGCTGATTTAGAATCTGTGTTTGATGAATGAGATTAACTGAGTGATAAATGATAAAAGATCTTATTTTTGAAACATATGTTTTGCTATAATATTTTGTATCCCACGTGTTTATTATTGTGCCTTTTGACAAAAAATGCCAAGCACTGAAGCGAGATGGTTTTTTATTATGATTGACTGTGTTCAATCAGGGTGATTGAAATGTTTTCAATCTTGTTCTATTTTTAATGTAATGAATGTATCTGAGCCCACCCAACTCTGAGGATGCTTATTGATTTTAAGTATTGACTGAAATATTCTTAGACTAATGTTAATTGGTTATCAATAGATTGATAAAAAGAGTGAATCTGTAAGAGAATATTTTAATCTGATCTGTTTATAGAGCTTCTTATTGTTTTATAGAATCTGTGATACTGCAAACATCTGCTTGTAGTCAGTCAAAGACTCCTGCGTTAGTTGAGGTCACAGGTCAAACGCTTCTCCTATATTCATGGGGGAGGGTTGAGGCTTGTCTGGATCTCTTTGAGACAAGTAGACTATTGTCTCACATCTGCTACTAATTAGGTATACGCTGGCTTTCTGGGAGCCCGCCTCTCCTCGTGTTGGTTAGATGTTTTGTGTCTTTTGGTTCAGAGATTACCTTGGTGGAGCACAAGGACAGTGTGAAACTAGGATGATCTCCCGGCCGTATGCAATTGTCTGTACTTGCTCCAATAAAACTCTCAGTGCTTTTGGCTAACGACGGTTCCAGACTCCTTCATTCTACCTCAACATTGCAACAACAGAAGTTTAACTTCACAAAGATCATGTTATTATCTGAGGGGAGCAGAACAGCAAAATACATGGGACAACCACAGTCTTATTCTAGTCACCCAGACAGATTCACTACTTATCCTCAGGTCCTGAGTAGAGAGGGTCTGACTGGGCGTTCTTACTGGGAGGTGGAGTGGAGAGGGAGAGAAGTTCGTGCAGCAGTCGCATTCAGGAACATCAGAAGAACAGGGGCTGAAGGTCAATTTGGATTCAATGACAAATCCTGGGTGTTAATTTTTAACCAAAACAGTTATTCCTTACGTCACAACAACATCAAAACTCCCATCTCAGGTCCTCTGTCCTCCAGAGTAGGAGTGTACCTGGATCACAGAGCAGGTATTCTGTCCTTCTACAGCGTCTCTGAAACCATGACTCTCCTCCACAGAGTCCAGACCACATTCACTCGGCCTCTCCATGCTGGAGTTCAGCTTCATGGTTATGGAGCCACAGCTGAGTTGTGTAAACTGAAATAGCCTGAAGTCATTTGAGGAACTCTTGTACTTCTTAAACTCATTGCGTGTCCATCATTGTTGCTGAGAGCTGATTGTTCATGTCTTCACTGCACAGAGATCAGCTGTCAATCAAACATTATGGGATGTGCTTTAACGTCTTCTCATGAGTTGTTCTGTAGATGTTGGAGTTTCTTTAGGCGGCGCTCCTTCCTGTGTCTGTTTAGCCATGGAGGCTGTCACTGCTCAGGAGGATTTCTGTTAACCTCAACTGATATTTCTCTGCATGAAAATGTAAACGTTGCTCTAGATATTTGTTGGCTATTCTATTTTTGACTAAGTCTCAATGTGTTGAATGCATAAATGAAAGTTTGAAGGAGGAAAGAAAACACATTCAAAGAAAGTCAAGAAACAGGTTGAGTTTGTAATAAATTGTGTTTCTATTTTAATTTTCAAGATGTGAGATGATGAGTGCCTCATTTACATGTCTGTACACAATAAAATGTTGGGGTTTTTCTTGTTAATAAAAGAGCTAAGAGGACATAAGTGAAAATCTCAGTCTTTTGTTTTGTATCTTAAAATGAATGATCTATCCTCTCCAGTGAAGCTGCACTAAGTTGAGTTGAATTGTAAACACATTACATTACATGTCAATTGTTAGACGCTTTTATCCAAAGCGACTTTCAATACTGTGGGCAATCCCCACAGGAGCAATTTGGGGTGAAGTGTCTCAGGGACACAACGACATGCTGACTGCAGTGGGGTTAGTTAGGTAGTTATTTTTTCACTGCTACGTCCCCAATAAGCTCTAGGACAAAAATGTAGACGGTAACACACAACAACAAATAACATTGAGAGAGTCGGGGTGAAAGTGAACACAAGTGCATTTATTTACACCAACAAATGGAGAGGCATCCAGGACCTCTCTTTGCTGCTGGCATTCTGAAATGGAAAAAGTAACTAATAAATATGTAATAATACATATGCTTATTATATTGTAATAGATTACCTGAAGGAATAGATAGGGAGGTGGGACAAGGGTTAATTCTGTCTGGCTTAGTCTATTATCATACTAAAAGGAATGCATGCACCCCCGCCCCTTCCCGGTGTCCCGATGCAACAAGTATCTGAATCCTATTTACATTGAACACTTAAGTCACACAATACTACCTAGCTTAGCCTATTATCATAATAAAAGCAATACCTACACCCACACATGCAGGTAAACCAGTTCAACAAGTCACACAATGCTGTCTGGCTAATGCTAACAGGCTAATTATCATACTAAAAGGGATACATCCAAGTGTCCCAACACATTTCAGAAAGAACTGTTTCTGCCAGAACCAGAGAAGAGTTTTTTTGTAACCAATGAACGGATAAGATACAAGTAGAGTTTACAATATAGCTACAGATTTAATTTCACATACTGCTATCAGAAATAATGTATTAATTTATTCAATTCTGGTCTTCATTCAAAATCTTAACAGATGACACATTTAGAACTTAGTTATAGTGAATGATCAAAGACATTATATGTTTCTATTAGTGTTGTATTTCCATATGTGAACATAAGAAGGTAGCCAGGGCCTGTCATTAAAGGAGGCAATCCAGGAAGCCTTGGCTCTCTCAGACCTGCTGCTGACTCCAGAGCCTCTTTGTGGTCTCTGATAGATTTGGTCATTATTCTGCCACCTTGTGTTTAGTATTGTTAAATGTGTGTGTGGTGGGAGGGGGAGGATTTGGGTACGTTTGGGGTTCCCTCTACCTCTCCTCACGTAGGTCAACTCTGTTAGACACACTAGGTTAGTAGATTGTTTCCACCCTGTAGTTGTTTTGTTTCCTTGTTAGTAGAACAGATAGTGAGGGCTTTTTGTTTGAGTTTTGTTATATTCATTTAATTTGGCAACCTCTTCTTTGTCTGCTCACTTAAAGAACATTTGTTGGCATTTTCTTAGGTTGTAAATAAATAAACTTGTGTTCATTTTCACCCTGACTGTTATTGGTTGTTGTGTGTTACTGTCTCCATTTCCCCTACACTTTATTAGGGATGTAACAAACACATTAATCTATACTAAATGAAATAATCCAGTAATTCAATATATATGATTCTAAAATGGGACATTACGCGCAGTAAGTAGTGGTTGATGCCAATACGTCTCAGTTTATGCTGCTTTAGACTTCTACTGAACTACATTTTAGAAGACAGTATTGTACTTTTTAATCCACTGCATTCATTTCACAGCTTGAAGTTACTACTTAGATACTAGTAGTTCATTCAAAATATAAATCAATTATTGAATACACCTTGACAGTTATTTATAGGATAAGATATCCAGCAGCAGGACATGAAGTTATTTAAATGAGCTCTACTTTTACTAACTGTGATAACACACATCAATAATCATTATAGTAACCCAGTGACTCAATATTCTGAAAAGGGCCATTCTGCATAAGGAGTACTTTTACTTTTGGTACTTTAAGTATATTTTGATTCCAATGTTTTTGTACTTTAACTTGCAACAGAGTATTTTTACCCCGTAGTATTTCCACTTTTACTTCAGTAGAATATCTGAGTACTTCTTACACCACTGCTACCATGTGTCTGGAGCCCTGAGCTACAACAGCCTGAATTTAAAAATAATATTTTACAGCTGATGACTGTTTTCAAATGTAGGGCAAGTTGTAAGCGAGGCTCCGTTTGTAAATGAGGAAACACTTCAGAGTGTCTGCTCCTCCTCCTGGAATGAGTCAGAGTTTGATGAGCCTTCCCTCTTCTTCCTGCTCTCAGACACAGCTCCACTCTGTATTTCCTGGCTCCTCCCCTTTAGATCCAGAGGATGGGCGTAACCAACATGTGGGTAAAGTACAAGAGCTGACAGCCACATCCACTGCTCACACACATGCTGTTCAGATCACAGCTCACATAGTTTCAGCTCTCAGGAAGTGAAGCTCAGACACTCGCTGCCACTGAGAGGTGAAATGGCGCAGAGAGGAGTTCAGCTGGACCGGGAGACCTTCTCTTGTTCCATCTGTCTGGATCTACTGAAGGATCCGGTGACGACTTCCTGTGGACACAGCTACTGCATGAAGTGTATTAAAGCCCACTGGGATAAAGAGGATGAGAAGAAGATCCACAGCTGCCCTCAGTGCAGGCAGAGCTTCACACCGAGGCCTGTCCTGCTGAAGAACACCATGCTAGCAGCTTTAGTGGAGGAGCTGAAGAAGACTGGACTCCAAGCTGCTCCTGCTGATCTCTGCTATGCTGGAGCTGAAGACGTGGGATGTGATTTCTGTACTGGGAGAAAACGGAAAGCCTTGGAGTCCTGTCTGCAGTGTGTGGCCTCATACTGTGAGAGTCACCTCCAGCCTCACTATGAATCACCTGCCTTTAAGAAACACAAGCTGATGGAGCCCTCCAAGAAGCTCCTGGAGAGCATGTGCTCTCGTCATGAGGAGGTGAAGAAGATGTTCTGCCGCACTGATCAGCAGTGTATCTGTTATCTCTGCTCTGTGGACGAACATAAAGGCCACGACACAGTTTTGGCTGCAGCGGAAAGGACTGAGAGGCAGAGAGAGCTGGAGGGGAGTCGACAAAACATCCAGCAGAGAATCCAGGACAGAGAGAAGGAGGTGAAGCTGCTTCAGCAGGAGGTGCAGGCCATCAATGGCTCTGCTGATAAAGCAGTGGAGGACAGTGAGAAGACGTTCACTGAGCTGATCCGTCTCATGGAGAAAAGAAGCTCTGATGTGAAGCAGGAGGTCAGATCCCAGCAGGAAACTGAAGTGAGTCGAGTCAAAGAGCTTCAGGAGAAGCTGGAGATCAGGGAGCTGAAGAGGAGAGACGCTGAGCTGAAGCTGCTGTCTCACACAGAGGATCACACCCAGTTTCTGCTCAACTACCCCTCTCTGTTACCTCTCAGTGAAGCTACACACTCATCCAGCATCAACATCCGTCCTCTGAGCTACTTTGAGGACGTGACGGCGGCCCTGTCAGCAGTCAGAGACAAACTACAGGACGTCCTGAGAGAGGAATGGACCAACGTCTCACCGACTGAAGTGGATGTTTTACCATCAGCAGCAGAGCCCACCACCAGAGCTGGGTTCTTATAAAATTCACAGGAGATCACTCTGGATCCAAACACAGCATACAAGATCATGTTATTATCTGAGGGGAGCAGAACAGCAAAATACATGGGACAACCACAGTCTTATTCTAGTCACCCAGACAGATTCACTACTTATCCTCAGGTCCTGAGTAGAGAGGGTCTGACTGGACGTTCTTACTGGGAGGTGGAGTGGAGAGGGAGAGAAGTTCGTGCAGCAGTCGCATTCAGGAACATCAGAAGAACAGGGGCTGAAGGTCAATTTGGATTCAATGACAAATCCTGGGTGTTAATTTTTAACCAAAACAGTTATTCCTTACGTCACAACAACATCAAAACTCCCATCTCAGGTCCTCTGTCCTCCAGAGTAGGAGTGTACCTGGATCACAGAGCTGGTATTCTGTCCTTCTACAGCGTCTCTGAAACCATGACTCTCCTCCACAGAGTCCGGACCACATTCACTCGGCCTCTCCATGCTGGAGTTCAGCTTCATGGTTATGGAGCCACAGCTGAGTTGTGTAAACTGAAATAGCCTGAAGTCATTTGAGGAACTCTTGTACTTCTTAAACTCATTGGGTGTCCATCATTGTTGCTAAGAGCTGATTGTTCATGGCTTCACTGCACAGAGATCAGCTGTCAATCAAACATTATGGGATGTGCTTTAACGTCTTCTCATGAGTTGTTCTGTAGATGTTGGAGTTTCTTTAGGCGGCGCTCCTTCCTGTGTCTGTTTAGCCATGGAGGCTGTCACTGCTCAGGAGGATTTCTGTTAATCTCAACTGATATTTCTCTGCATGAAAATGTAAACGTTGCTCTAGATATTTGTTGGCTATTCTATTTTTGACTAAGTCTCAATGTGTTGAATGCATACATGAAAGTTTGAAGGAGGAAAGAAAACACATTAAAAGAAAGTCAAGAAACAGGTTGAGTTTGTAATAAATTGTGTTTCTATTTTAATGTTCAAGATGTGAGATGATGAGTGCCTCATTTACATGTCTGTACACAATAAAATGTTGGGGTTTTTCTTGTTAATAAAAGAGCTAAGAGGACATAAGTGAAAATCTCAGTCTTTTGTTTTGTATCTTAAAATGAATGATCTATCCTCTCCAGTGAAGCTGCACTAAGTTGAGTTGAATTGTAAACACATTACATTACATGTCAATTGTTAGACGCTTTTATCCAAAGCGACTTTCAATACTGTGGGCAATCCCCACAGGAGCAATTTGGGGTGAAGTGTCTCAGGGACACAACGACATGCTGACTGCAGTGGGGTTAGTTAGGTAGTTATTTTTTCACTGCTACGTCCCCAATAAGCTCTAGGACAAAAATGTAGACGGTAACACACAACAACAAATAACATTGAGAGAGTCGGGGTGAAAGTGAACACAAGTGCATTTATTTACACCAACAAATGGAGAGGCATCCAGGACCTCTCTTTGCTGCTGGCATT